CAAAAACAATTTCATATAATTGAAATCACACATTATCTGTCCTTTTGTGATTGGCTTACTTTAATCAGCATAATGTTCTCAAGATTCGGTCATGTTGGGACATGTATAAGGATTTCATTTCTCTTTATTGCTGAATAGTATTCTGTTGTGCTAGGGGGCTTCAAAATATTTGTGGAAAAATTCCATTTCCTTTGCATTCAGATTTTTCCATGAATTTGTTAAAGACCTCTTGTATGTACGTACCTCATCTTGCTTCTCCTTTTATCTGCTGATCAGTCTTTAGGTTGTTTCTTCCTTTAGGCTGTGTAAGCATTGCTGCAATGAACGAGTCAAAAAGTGTTACTACTGGGGTCCCAGTTCATGCACGTGTACACGTTTATTCCAAACAAAAAGTGTTTAAACATGACTCTGTGAGCAGCGGAAGACTGCTGACAAGTTCTCTGGGTTGTTTTAGTCTCCTTAGGGTGAGTTTTAAAAATCCAGTCAAAACAGTGATTTTCAAGGGGATCAGCTGGACCAATTACATTCAAGGCAGACAGGTCAGCTCAGAATGTTATAATGAGACTTTTGGTATTCCAAAGGGGTCATCTTGGTAGATTTTGTTGAAGGACACAGGGTGATCATGGAGATTTACTAGGAAGAGGTTTTAAGCAAATGGAAAACTGCATTTGTAAGAAAAAGGCTAGAAAAGTTGCACTGAAGAATTATTTTTTTCCATGATAGTAATGCACCTGCTCATTCTTGGAGGGTGGGCAGCAAGGGTGGTCCAATGAGAATTTTTATGGGAAACCATACCCATCTACCCTCCAGCTCTGACCTTGCCCCTTCAGATTTCATTTTGTTTCAGAATTCAAAGAATATTTTAAAGGAACATGATTTGAATCCCTTGAGGCCAAAACAATCGTTACGACATAGTGTAAATCGAAGAGTACAGAATTCTTCCGGGGAGGTTTAGATCAATGGAAACACCACCATTGGAAGCATATAGACCTACATAGAGGATATGTTTTGATATTTTTGTTTAATCAAGGTTTCTCTGGTTTTTAGTAGTACTTTTTAACTTTTAAGTTTCTTTTTCTGTTCCTGCTTACAATACTTTGGGACATATACCTGGGATTACAATTGCTGGGTCACCATGTAGGTTTCTGTTTTGTTTTATTAACTCAATTCTGTACAGTCAAGGGGTGATTGATTTTTCTTTGTGTCTATTGTTACCATCCTTTTCTGCAGCTCATCAACTGATGATCTGGATTATTGCTCTTCTTTTACAACTCTACTCCCTGCCTCCCTAGCCGTAGCAGTTCCATGCAAGTGTTCACCCCTCAGCCTGCATTTCAGGGCCTCCGTAGCCTGAACTCCGTACCAAACCCCCTTTTATCTCAGTGTTTTCTATATTGGCTGACCATTTTTATTCTGCCTCGGAACACGGAAGGGCCATCTGTTCTTTCATCCTCAAGTCCTGCTCCCCTATCCTGGAATGCTCCCCTTCCCTGATGTAGAGCTATCCCTCCTTTAATAAAGCTACAACAGCCTAGAAAATACACGCTACAATGGAATCCCATTTTATCTCCAAATTTCAATTAGTCATGGGTTGGGGTCAGAGGGAATAAGGGTTTTGACTGAAATCTGGTAATGCTTATTTTAAACTTTCTAGTTTATTTTATGGAAAACAGTTTAATGACAAAAAAAGGAAATAAAAAAGACTAATTTATCCATAATCTCAGCATGATTTGTTTTCATTTTGCTATGTGCACCCCACTATCTCCTTATGTTGCTTTTTCCCATTTTTATTTGTCTTTCCCTGATTTTACGTTTGCATTTATGTCCGTTTCTATCCTAATTGGACTGTGGGCTTTTGGAAGACCAGAATTCTCTCACTCCAGTGCCAAACACAGTCCCAGGCACATAACAGAAACCTAATAGTTGTTTCATATTTTTAGGGTTTAGCAAATTTTCTCATTATTTCATTTTTAAAAATCTGTGGTCAATTATTTCTTTTCAGTTGAAGCCCAGTTAGTCTTGTGTGTTCAATAACATATTTTGAATCTTCCATTTCTATTCTTTTTCTATTTTTCTATTCAGTCTTTGACTTTCTGAATCATAGCTGAGTATTGTCACTCTTGATTGTGAGCATGATGGGTTAATATGTTGTTGTGAAGTGATGTTGAGTCTTTTCTAATGCATAGCGACCCTTTATAGGGTTTCCAAGGAGGAGCTATTGAGTTTGAACTGCTGATCCTGTGGTTCAAACCCACCTTGTTGTCCAGTGCTTATCCTATGGTGTTACTCCAGAGTTGATCTATTGACTTAGAAATCCACTTTGGTAGCATACAAAGAAGTTTCAGTGGTTTTCAAACCTTTCTTTTCCATAGTAACTTCAATTAGGAGGAAAAAGTCACTGATGTATTAAACGATTGGTGTTTAATTTCTCTTGGATTCACTTAAAATAGTGTCAAGAATAGTAATTGCTCAGTCAATATTTTTTGTTAAATTCAACTGAATGAAAGCACAGTGCTTCAAATGTACCACTTTAAAAAGTGTAAAGTTATAAAGAGTTTCCTTCTTTAAAAGTCTTTTTGTATACTGATTAATTTTATCTGTTTATCTTATCCTATAACATTTATATTTAGTGACTTAGGTGGCTAGACAGTATCACTCAGAGCTTGTACAATGGTTGTGTTTATTTGTGGCCCTAGAAAAGATATGGTCATCATTTGTCAGAATATTGACACATTTAATAAAATGCTAACTTGAAATCATAGAACAGGGGTCCCTAAACCATGCCCAGGTTGGATCATTTTCTAGGAAGAGTCATAGGATTCAGCAGTGCCAGGATACAGAACAAAATCAGCAAAGGGAAAAGTTGTATGTGTGGCAGGCAGGGTGCTCGGGGAGCCCAGGAGAAACTAAGCATAAGCATCTAAGCATTCTCTCTCAACATGCTGTGTTCTCCCAGCAATGAGTGTGATGATATGAGGTAAATCCTTCTAATCAGGAGCAAGTTGTAGACTCGGTGCCCAGGGTTTTTATTGGGTCTGATCACGCAGGTGCCCCCTGCTTGGCATATACACAAAGTCCAGACTTACAAAAAAGTACAGGTGCTCAGCATAAAACATATTTTTCAACAAAAAGTTTAGACCCAGCGAACCACTCTTATCAGATCTGGGAATGGTCACAACCCTTCTAAAATCCAATCCCCAGTCAAGAGCCACCCTTGCAAGCGAGACTTTCAAAGGATAGAAGTCAGGTCTGCTATGGTAACAGTTTTCGGCATCTATCATTTTGTTAGCTCGTTTTCAATACAAGAATCCAGATTTTGTAAATCAATTATTTTTATATAACATATTTTCTAAAATGTAAAAATATCTCTGTAAAAAAATTTGTGTTCCTTCTAGTCTCTAAAGGGCCTGGAAGCCTGATAGTTCACATTTTCTTTGCGTTCAGGGTTTGTCAATAGCAGGCCAAGTGGATAACCTCTCTCTTGAAGTTTGTGGGGAATTTTTTAATTTATAAAAATTCACCACAAAAGGCCATTTCCTCTAAAATGTGGCTATGAGGCAGTCAGACACAAGCACAAATAAATCTGAAGGTGAAAATGTTCACGGGAGGTAAGGTCAGGGCCAGGATCCCAAGGTCTTGTGCTGAGAGAGGCCCTAGATCTTGTCTCTTTCCTCTGAAGTTTTCTTTGTGTACATATTCTCAAGAAAAAAATTAGGCTAATGAGAAATAGGGGTTCTGGTGTCGTGCTGTGGGTTAATGCGCTAGACTGCAAAGTCTGTTTGAACTCTAAGGTTGGCAGTTCAAGCTCACCAGCTGCTCCTTGGGAATCCCATACAGGGTCACTGTGGGTTGGGATTGACTGGACAGCACTCAACAACAACAGCAAACAATGGGAAATATGGGAAGAAGCCTTAAAAAATATGGAAAGAAGCTATATACTCCCGCAAAGACTTATACAGTTTTTCATTCCACCTTCCTTCACTGTGGCTCACTCTAGGCAGGGCAGTGGCTAAACATCATTATCATCAACTAAATAAAGCCAGTTGATAAGGGTGTGGCTAGGCCACACAACAGGCCTCAGATGGAGATGTATCTGTCACACATTAATCTCTTAATGGTAAAAATAGCCATTTGTCCACCCAGTGAATACGTATTAATTCTTTTGATTGCTTGGTTCTTAGGTATCAGTTTAGCAGTGAATTAGACTTAGATCTTGTTGCTGAGGAGGAGTGAAAAAATCGTCCAGAAAAATGAAAGATTTAGGGAAGGGGTTATCAGTAAAATGCCTTGTTAGTTCAGAGAAACAGTGGCATATTTCACAGAACATGTGGGAAAAAGGTCATATTCAAATGATGCATTCATTCATTCGTTCGTTCGGCATGTAAAACCAAAACCCACCACCATAGGGTCAGGCCCAACTCACAGCAGCCCTAGGTCGGGTTTCTGAAGCTGTGACTCTTTACTGGAGCAGACAGCCTCATCTTTTCCCCATGGAGCGGCTGATAGGTTCGAACCATAGACCTTGAAGGTAGCAGCCCAGTGGCTAACCCACAATGCCACCAGGACGTATCAAAGGGATTTCTATACTACACATGACCTACTGAATTAGGAATTTAATATACCAATAAATCAAAACTTCAAACTTCTTGCAAAGTAGCCTTGAAGTGTAGAGAAGAGAGAGACAGCAAATGAAGAATTAAGTAAACAAGCACTGGACTGCCAACCACAAGGTTGGTGGTTCAAGCCCACCCACCAGCTGCGCCACAGGAGAAAGATGAAGCTATATACTCCCGCAAAGACTTATAGCCTCAGAGACCCTATACCAACTTAACAACACTTAGCAACAACAAATGAAGAAAAACAGGTGCAGTAATAGTAGTTTTTGTTGGTTTTAAAATTTGGTTTGATTTTCAGATTATTTTTCAATATCCTATATTATTAATCTCCAAAATTATTCGAAAGGTTTATTTTTAAATGCTTTTCTTCCCTTCTCTTTACAGCCTATATCAAAGGTGGGTGGATCCTCAGGAAAGCCTGGAAGATTTACAATAAATGCTATCTGGATATCAATTCCCTTCAGGAGCTGTATCAGAAGAAGCTTACTGAAGAGCCCTTAACTTCTGACACTGCAAATGATAATCACATTGTGGCTGAAGGGGTGTCTGAGGAGTCTCTAAATAGACTGAAAGGTGCTGTTAGCTTTGGATATGGCCTTTTTCACCTTTGCATATCCATGGTGCCCCCAAACCTGCTCAAAATCATCAACCTGCTGGGTTTTCCTGGAGACCGCCTACAGGGGCTTTCTTCACTGATGTATGCAAGCGAAAGTAAGGACATGAAGGCCCCTTTAGCTACGTGAGTAGCTATATTGCACTGCTTTGGTAGATAATATAGTGTTGAAAGTAAGTAAACTACAATCAAAGACTTTAAAGGAAACTGCAGGTAAAATGCTTGGTTGATTGACTGAAGCCATGCTTTGTGTTTTTAATGAAATGCTGAGGACTGTGTTTAGTGGTGGTGTTTATGGGCTGACTAGAGAACAAGACACTATGTGCACATTTTGGAATCTTATACACAGCCACCAAGCCTCTTAATTCATCATTTGAGTCCTGTGAACGTATCTTTTATCCTCAAATGGTTTTCTAAGCAGTGAGATGACTTTGAAGACAGTGACTGAGATTGATAGTCTTGATTTGGGGAATTAAGCAATGTAAATTTTTGATACGATATAATAAAAAAATCTAAATTTTTTATTATAATTTTCAGTTTGAGTCATTTCCCTTGATTCTGGTGGGTCAGTTGGTGTCTTATATATGAATGGGATATCGTGTCCTATTGAACAAAATTGAGTCATGTTACATTATTCAGTTTAAAGTGGCAAATATTTAAACGTGGTTTAATTATCCAGAGCAAGAACTCACTTCTATCTATTATCAGTTATGTTTTTGTTTTTTGTTTTTCCAATCTGGCAAATGTTTGTAATTTGTCATTGAAGAAGTTTTACCAAACAGAATATATCTTTTGTGTGACATCATACCATTTAACAAACAAAAAAATTTTTTAAATGTTGAAATCATAGGAGACTTTGTGGCTTCTGTTTCTCATTGTGTCAGTACTGAGGACTATGGATGTTACCTCTTAATGAGTTAATATCTATTAAGTATATCATTAATTTTGCATTCCAGAAATCACTGTGCCTTTCTAACCTTATTAAATTGCACAGTGGTCCTTTATTAATTTGACTACACAGATTTGTAATTTGTGATAATTTGTCTCAGTCTGTATCCTCATAATTATTTTTGCTTATCACTGAAAAAGGAATGAATTAAATTAATAATATAAATTAGTGTGCTTTCCCAAGAGAATAAAATTCATGAGCACAGCAGAAAAATATTTGATGTGTTAGATAAACCTTTTGTCTGTTTATTAAAGCAGGTTCCAATGATTTTGTTTTGTTGACCTAGTTTAATAATGGGCTTTTTTTAAAACAGTAATGCATTTGAATTAAGAAAACTTTATAAGTATTTTGCTTATTTGTTTGTTTTTCGACGGAGTATCCTCAAAAGGGCTCTTTATCTGGACCTCTCATTTGTTTAACCCAGCTTAATAAAATTTGTATCAGTGGTGCCTATTTTGAAATTTGGACTCTAAGATTTATGCCCTAAGTTTTGTTAACACAGGAGAAAACAGTATTTTTTACTGTTGCAGAAAGTAATGATTTTATTATGAGAGGACAGAATTTCATGGTGACCAGCTATTGTTTTCTATTTTTTGCTTTGATGGTTAAGATGTGAAATTCAGGGTCTACATCACTCCTGTCTTCTTTGATCCGTCATCTGGCAGGTTCAGAAGAACAAATGCTTCTGTTACCCAATTCTTTGCTCACCTAATGGCAGGAAGTCTGTTGGTTAATGTGTTGCGCTAAGGTTGCAGTTTTCCAAATATTGATAAAGTTAAAATGGGAGTAATACCCTGATTTTACTTCTTCAAAGCCTGCATAGTAAGCTTTTTGGAAGGAAAACATATTAAAAAGAGCACAAGCTGATTTTAAGTAGAAACAAGATCAGAAAAATCATTTGTTCAATGTTTCTCTCCCTCTTCCTTTAGACTAGCTCTTCTCTGGTATCACACTGTCGTCCGCCCGTTTTTTGCCTTGGACGGCAGTGACAACAAAGCAGGTCTGGATGAAGCTAAGGAAATTCTTCTCAAAAAAGAAGCTGCTTATCCAAACTCTTCCCTCTTTATGTTTTTCAAGGGACGGATACAACGATTAGAGGTACTGTGCCTTCCTCATCTTTTAAAAAAATAAAACCTGTTGATCAAATCTATAATCTTTGCTTGGGGACAACTATCAAAATGAGCCAGAATGGCACAGAGGGGAGGAACACTTTGTTCTGTTGTCTCTCGTTGCATCATCTCTACAGAAGAAGCTTCCAGGATCCCAGGTTGTTAGTCACTACCTTCTGTTCAGGAGACATGGGTGGCAGAGAGTGAGATTCCTCACTCTGAATGAGACAAGATTGGTGTTCTCTGTGCTTAAGCCATGGTAGCATTATTAATTCTCTAAGTTGAAGAATATAGAAAACAATTTTTTCCCCTTTTGAGTTACTAATAATTGACTTTAAGTTCTGATCTGGGCTTAAATAGCTTATACAAAAGTTACCTTCAATGTCAGGAAAGCAACAGCTTTAACACAATAATAGCTTTCATTAAGTTTTCATGTGCTTAATTTGACTAATGTTGTGGCTAAGAATTTTACACACTTTATCTGGTTTAATCCTCAGAACACCCCCATGATACAAGTATAAAATTCTTTCCTGCATTTTATGGAAGAGAAAAGCAAGTCTCAGAGAGATATTCGGGGGCTTTCCAGAGCTCAAGCTGCTTCATTCCAGAACCAAAATGTTCTGTGACCTATCTATGTAGGGGGCTCCGCATCATCTTGGTACCTTGTTTTTATCTGCTTGCTTGAGAAGATGAGGGCTTGTAGAAATGTGAAAATATTTCTAAGGAGAAAACCATTACGTGAAAGAAGGTGACAGGCTAGGCACACCAAGTGTATTTTCATCAGTAGCTATTAGTGAACCACTCTGAGGTTTAATATCAGTATCAACGGTAGAGATCAGCTCCCAGAAAACCCATATCTACCTTTTTCTGTTGTTGTTGTTTTAACTTTTTATTGTGATTTGAGGGAAAATTTACAGAGCAAATTGATAATTCACTGCTTCATCATTGTTTAATGTTGAGTAGTGTTCTTTTATGTGTGTATATGCCATAGTTTGTTAATTCATTCACCCATTTGATGGGCACTTTGGTTGTTTTCATCTTTTTGCTGTTGTGAATATTGTGATGGTCATGGGTATGCTTGTATCTATTCATGTCACAGCTGTTATTTCTGTAGGATATAAGAGGAATCCTGGTGTGGCACTGCTGGATAATGCACTGGACCGCAAGTCAGTGGTTCAAACCCACTAGCTGCTCCTCAGAAACCCTAGACAGGGTCACTATGAGTCAGAACCGACTCAAAGACACTTAATAATAACAACATATACCTAGAAGTGGGATTACTGGATCGTATGGTATTTTTTATTTCTAACTTTTTAAGGAAGTGCCATGCCATTTTCCACAGTCGTTATCCTGTTGTATATATAATACACAACAGTGGATAAGGGTACCAGGCTCTCCATACCCTCACCAGCATTTGTGGTTTACTGGTTGCTGTTTGGGTTTTTTTTTAACTTTGCTAGTTATGCTGGGATGACCCAAAAGTAAACCCACCTACCTGTGGACAACTGATCTGTGACAAAGGACCAAACCCCAATTAAATGGGGGAAGAGATAGTCTCTTAAACAAATGGTGCTGGCAAAACTGGATTTGCAGAAAAATGAAACAGGATCCATATTTCTCAACATATATAAAAACTAATTCAAGATGGATTAAAAGTATAAAACCTAAAGCTATAAATATCATCAAAGAAGAAATAGGAGCAAACTTAGGGGCCCTCATACATGTGTAAATGTACTATCAAATATAACTAAAAATGCACAGGCAATAGAAGACAAACTAGATAACTAGGATCCTAAAAATTAGACACTTGGGTGTGTCAAAATATTTCACCAAAGAGTAAAAAGAGAACCTACAGACTCGGGGAAAAATTTGGCAATGACATATCAAAAAGAGAGCTCTAAAATTTATAGAAATCTTCAACAGCTCAACAACAGAAAGACAAACAGTTCAATTAAAAATGGGCAGAAGACATGAACAAACATTTCACCAAAGAAGACATTCAGGTCCCAACAAACATTTGAAGACATTCTTTCAATCGTTAGCTATCAGAGAGATGACCATATATATTTTTGAAGACTTTTGTCCATGAATTCTTTCATGAGCACAAAAGTGAATGGTCCCATAATATTTTTGTTGGCAATGGCATTTACATTACTCTTCAATCTTTGTTCTGTCATGGACTAAGACCCTTGAAACTTGAATATGACTTCTGAACCTGAAGACTCTTCAGAGCAATTCTCTAACTTTAATTCTCTGAGTCCCTCATGTATGTAAGTTGCATTCTAGAGATTGTACCAATCGTTTATGGTAGCAGCATGGCACAGGAAGCTCACCCGCATCTCAATTATTTCAATCTATGCCTGATTCTTATCAAAAGAGAAAAGATTGCAGTTGTCAAGGACTTCATTCTTCTTGGATCAACTATCAACATTCGCGGAAGCAGCAGTTAAGAGATCAGATGACGTATTGCATTAGGCAAATCTGCTGCACAGGAACTTTTTAAAGTGTTGAAGAGCAAAGATGTCAGCTTGAGGACTAAGGTGCACCTGACCCAAGCCATGGTATTTTCAGTAACCTCGTATGAATGTGAAAGCTGGACAGTGAATAAGGAAGATCATAGAAAAATTGATGGCTTTGAATTGTGGTGTTGGAAGAGAATACTGAAAGTGCCACGGACTGCCAAAAGAACCAATAGATCTGTTTTGGAAGAAGTGCAGCCAGAGTGCTCCTTGGGGGCCAAGATGGCTAAATTTTGTCTCTCATGCTTTGGACATATTGTCAGGAAGAAACAGTCGCTGGAGAAGGATATCATGCTTGGTAAGATGGAGGGTCGGAGAAAAAGAGGAAGACCCCCAATGAGATGGATCAGCCAGGTGGCATCATTGATGGACTCAAGTGTGGCAGCGGTAGTGAGGTTGGCCCAGGATCGGACATTGTTTCATTCTGCTGTGCATGGGGTCACTATGAGTCGGTTCTGACTCAATGGCACCTGGCAACAACAACAACAATAAATGCCAGATTTATTTTTTCTTCTCATTATCTTGAAACATTTTCTTTGCATTCAGGCTTGTGAGCCTTTGGTTGTATATTGCTATTTTAAAAACAGTTCTAATCCATCTCCTGCGTAGCCAGGTTGGTTTGTCAATGCTTGTTCCTTTCAGAATCAACACTACGGTCTGCTTATAGGAGATACACAGACTGTTAACATTTCTGTATTCCCTTGGGACTACGAAGGAGGAAATACCACAGTCAAAGGAAATCATAAATTGACTGAGCCTTCTCACTTCAGTGACCTTGTCTGAAATGAAACACGGAGAGGGGCTAAGTGTGCCAGAAATGTACATTTCTTACAGGGCAGGCATTATACATTTGGTATGTCTCCGGACATGACGTAACTAGTTTCAGTGTTCAGCAGCGATTTACTGGCTGTGAGTGAGAGCCTACAGTTTAACATTGTGTGCATCACACTTGGCATTCCTTAGAACTCTCTTTACTTTTACTTTTTTTTTATTTACTGAATAATGATTACAGTGGGATCTGGAGTTGCTAAACTGACATGTGAAAACAAGTCAGGGCTTAGCATTTTAATTCATTTTTATTTTTAAATGAAAATGTTTAGCTTTTGCTTAGTCACTATTATTTTTTTTTCCCCTAAAAACTTGATTTGGCATGGTTTTAGTTTTTGCTGCAATCCATTTCCTTTAGGGACTGAGTGAGTGCTAAAACGAAATAATCATTCATGGTTGTAAACTAAGAAAGCCATGGCTCCCCCAAGGGACTGTTACAAATAGGATATTGGAAGTCACCTAATCAGCATTATAGAGTCCTGGTGTGGCGCTGTGGGTTAATGTTCTGGACCACAAGGTCAGTTTGAACCACAAAGTCGACGGTTCAAACTCACCAGCCGCTCCTCAGAAACCCTATTGGTCAGAACCAACTGGATGAAGACGCTTAACAACAATGACAACAATCATGATTATAATAGGCACATCCTTAAGAGCTTAGTGATGTGGGAAATTTGCCTGTGATTCCCAGTCAGTGGGCCTCCAGCACAGGACCCCCTGTCTGTCAGTGGTGGTTCCTAGATGGCTGTGATGCTGAACAGGCTTCTGCAGAGTTTCCAGACTAACACCAGCAGGGAAGGCTTGGCAATCTGTTTCCCTGAGTCAGTCCATGATAAGTCTGTGGATCACAGCCGTTCTATTCACAACCCACCATGGGACCAGGCAGTGTTCTGTTTCACTGTGCATGGGATCACCAAGAGTCACGGGCTGCCTCAGTGGTTAACAACAACAATCGGCAGTATGTGATGCTTTTAGCAGGTGTTCAGTCTCTTATAGGCAAGGGATTGGGGACTGAAGTGCCAGTGGTAGAGAGTGGGACTCCTTCATGGTGAAGTGGCTTGCTTATTTAACTGGTACTTGGCTTTAAGGAAAAAGAAACAACACATGAGAGTGCTCTTGCTTAGTGAGATGTAGCCTGAGGGCCCAGCCAAATGCCACCAATGTCATTACTATGTGGCTCTTCTCAAAGGTCCAGAAGATGAAAGGGTTTTAGGGCTAATTTGAAGTATGGATGGAATTATCATCAAGTATCCAGCTTCCAGCGTTTCATTCATCTTCCCCAGTGTGTGTGTCGGAAGGTATCAGAGAGCAGCATCCTTCATCTGCAGATGAGGAACTGTGCCCAGAGAGACGGTGGCAGGGTTCTTGACAAAGGTGTTTGTAAGGCCTTTAGAGTCCCAGGGTATGAATACACACAGGCTGAAGGTGATCGATGAATCTGCTTGTAAACGTTCTTCTGTCTTGGCAATGGCCACTTAGGTGAGAGAAAGAACTCCTTGGGATCTTCTTTATCAAAAAAATACTCACAGAACCTGGTCCAGGGGCCTTAATTTAGTCAAGGCATCACTGGACACTACATACTTCCATGACCCAGAATCTGCAAAATCATGTGAACAGCGGCCTTTGTGTAAGCTTGCTGTCACAC